ATATGTAATGTTGAGAAACTGCATGCTAAGATCCTCCTAAGGACAAGACAAGAATATTCTTTCTCTCTTACCACTGCTATTTAACATTGTACTGGAAGTCCTAGCTAGACAAGAAAAGGAAATAAAATGTGCACAAATCAGGAAGTTTGATAGGCTAAAAATGACTCCTGAAGATAGGTTCACATCCTAATCCCTGGAACCTGTCAATGTTACCTTCTTTGGGAAAAAAAGCTATTGCAGATGTGATTGATTTAAAGGTCTTGCAGTGAGGTGATCATTCTGTATTATCCAGATGGGCTTTATATACCAGCATGATGACTGTATAAGAAAGACGCAGAGGGAGATTAGACTTATAAACAAAAGGGAAGGCTATATGAAGACAAAAGCAGAAACTGGAGTGATGCAGCTGAGAAATGCTGAAAGCCATTAGAAGAGGCAAGGAACGGATTATCCCGAGTCTCCACAGAGAGTATGTTAACACCTTTATTTTGGATTCTGGCTTCCAGAATGGTGAGAAGACATTTCTGTTGTTTTGAGCCACCAAGTTTGTGATCACTTGTTAGAAAAGCCATAAGAAATGGCTATAAGAAGAAAGATATAAAACTGTCTGTTTACAAACAACATGATTGTGGAAAATCCCCCCAAATCAACAAACTCCTGAAATTGCTAAATGAGTTTACCGAGGTTGCACAATACAAGGTTCACATACAAAATTTAGTTACTTTCCTGTCTACCAGCAATGTACAATTTGAATTTGACATTTAGACAAGTACTATTTGCAGAAGCACCCAGTTTGCATAGATTCCATCTATTTACAGATATTTGTATATAAATGGGTTAATATACACAGATATATTTCCCTGTGAGGTCAGCTGAGAGAGATGAAAGTAAGAACACTAGAGCAGCAGTGAGCACACCTAGCACCAAGATAATGGTTTCTAATACTGTTCTCCAGTGAAAGGAACCAAGGTTCATTGAAGAAATGGCTTATACCAGGACTGATGCAGAAAACACACAAGTTAAGCTTTGAGCATCTTGTAGTCTCAGAAAGCAAGTGCTTAAAAAACAGAAAAATCCACATGATGCAAAGGGATACAGGAAGCAACTGAAAGGGCTCCCAGTGGCCAAAGCTGGAACTGTGTGAACAATAAAATAAATAAGGTAGTGTGGGATTGTAAACCCAAGTGTAAAATAAATACCTTCAAGTCTATACCAATAGTAAGTAAATTATTGTAAATTTTAAAATGGAGAAGACACAAACCTTCCCATATAAAAATTTGAAGCAATTTATGTAGCTAAGCCCCCCTTGAGGAGGTGGATTATAACTTCCCACTTCTTGAGTATGGGATAACCATAATGACTTTTTTTCCAAAGAGTACAGTATGAAAAATGGGAAAAAAAAGATTAGCTTTACAGTGGTGAAACTGAGCCAACACTAACTACCTCAGCTAAGTGCTCAAGGTCAACATCAACAGTGGTAAATCATGGTGCTATTATGTGCCCTTGACATAATGTGATGTTCATAGCAGTTTCCCTCTATGGCTTTCCCAAATCCATAACCTCAGTCCAGTGATGAAAAAAACATGTAACAAATCCCAATTGAGGGACATTCCACAAAATACCTGACCAGTACTTTGAAAACTGTCAAGGTCAGCAAAATAAAATAAGAATCTAAGAAACTATCACAGCCAGGAGGAATGTATGGAGACGTGACAAATGTAGTATGCTTGATGGGATTGGATACTGAGTCATACTCAAGAAATCTAAATAAAGTGTGGACTTTAGTTAATAAAGTATCAGCATTGGTTCCTTAATTGTTACAAATGTACCATAATTATATAAGATAGTAATAATAGGGAAAACTGGGTGTGGGGTATATAGAAACTCTGTATTACCTCTGATTTTTCTGTATATTGAAATCTGTTCTAAAACTAAATGTTTGTTTAAAAATAAACAAACTATTTTGTTCTAAGCCACCAGCCCAGTTTTGTTACTGGGACTGGAATGAAACACAAAATTATTTTCCCTTCTTCGCTAGTCAGTTAAAGGTGGAAAATATTGTAGTTTTTTTTTTTTCTTGGTAGCTGTGTCCATTCATCTAGAAATTATTTACTGAGCTTCTCCTGTGTATCCTGCTTTGAGGATACGAAGAGTATAAGAAAGATACAGCACCTGCCCATAAACATCAAGAAAGGGACATAGATATGCAAACAAATAATGTTCAGGCCACTGTAGCTACTGCTGGGCTACTGTTGCTGCCATAGTAGATCTTCTGCTTTGCTCTCCCAAATATATTAGGAAGAGAGTCTCCACCCCACCCTTCTGAAGGAGTCTGGCTTTTTGATGAACTTTAGATGGTGTGGTTTTAAAGAGATCATGCCTTGTTTTTAGACTTCCAAAGGTAGCCTTGGTCTTTTTTTTTTTTTTTTGAGATAGAGGCATGCTCTGTCACCCAGGCTGGAGTGCAATGGCACGATCTTGGCTCACTGCAACCTCTGCCTCTTAGATTCAAGCAATTCTCCTGCCTCAGCCTCCTAAGTAGCTGAGACTACAGGCACCTGCCACCATGCCTGGCTTATTTTTTTGTTGTTGTATTTTTAGTAGAGATGGGATTTCACCATGTGGGCCAGGCTGGTCTTGAACTCCTGACCTCCTGATCTGCACACCACAGCCTTCCAAAGTGCTGGGATTACAGGTGTGAGCCACCGTGCCCAGCCAGTAGCCTTGGTCTTCTATATTAATCTTTTCTTCCAAGATCCTTAGAAGAATTTAGATGATACCCAAAAGCCTTCTAGTAAATCCAAAGATGTCACATATTAGAAAAACACATCTTGATATTATTGTGGATTCTTTTGGGATGTTTCCCTCACCTTCTTACATCTATATAGAAGCTTTGATCTCTTCCTTTTGATTGTCTCGTTTCTGATGTTGTAAGCACCAGGCATCAGTTCTATAGTCTGTTCATCTGTGCATTTTTAAATGAACTTAGTATATGCCTAGCTCAAGACCTTTACACTTTGTTTTCCTGCTTGTAATGCTGTATCGCCACATTTCCTTCATTCAGTCTCTATTTGGATTTCATTACTTAGAGATGCTCTTATGATAGCCCTTTAAATATAGCTGTCCCTCACCAACTCCATCACTATCTCATTACATTGTATTATTTTTCTCCATGGAACCTATCTCCACTTGACATTTATTTCTTTATTGTCTTTCTCTTCTAGAACACCTGCTCACAAAGGCAAGAACTTTTTGTTCATTGGTTGGTCTATTCCCAGCATCTCTAGAGCGGAGTCTGGCACATGGTAGTACTCAGTAAATATTTGTTGAACAAATGCAGGTATGATAGTCACACCTCCAGTTTCTCCCAGTCACCCTACAGACCCAAAGAAATGAAGGCTTCCAATGACCTGCTCTGATGCATCAGCCTTTATAGAATTTATACAGATTGCAGTCCTACTTAAGTCCTTGCCTCATTTCTATTTGTATAGTAATTGATGGTTTTCAAAGTGCTTTTGCATAGATTGTCCCTTTTGATTCCTTGAATACTATGTAGTGTAATACTATGTGTAATACTATGAAGCAAGTAGGAATTTCTTAGACCTATTTTACAAATGAGGAATGTAAGGGAATGGAATTTAAAAGGTAACTATCACAGCCAGAGCTAGAAACCAGATCTCCTGACTTTGTGATTACGTGGGGTTCACATTTCATCTCTTCCGGTGTCTACATTGTATGGTTTTGAGGGCAAGGTCTTGAATTTTTTGTTTTTATATTTTCCACATGCCTTATACACAGTGTGCTTAATAAAGTATGTTTCTTTGGGCCTTTTGGCCACTTCAGCTTTTATCTTTGACTTCATTAATGGATTTTAGGAGGATCTCAGATATTGGTTTTAGGTATGGCGCCACAGATTCGGTAGGTTAGGGCCAGGCATACAAATCACATAGGAACTTTGGTTGTGTTAGGTTCTGATTTAGTTGGTCTGGGGTAGTGCCTGAGAGTATGCATTTTTAACAAGCTCTGGGAGTGCTCATGCTGCTGGTATAGCTTCCACACTGAGTATTTCAGGGCTGTGTATCATGTGAAAGATGTATTCTTTGTTTGGCTAACTGACTGTGTGAACCTAGGTAAGTTTCTTGAAGACACTATGACATATATTTAGGTTCGATTACTTTGGTTAAAATCCTAACTTTCTGTTTACTGTGTGATCTCAGGTAACTTACTTAACTTTTCTGTGACTCAATTCCTCTTTAAAAATAGAGATCATATTATTACTTGTCTTATACAGGTATTGACTGAATTAATACTTGTAAAGCACCTAGATTTATAATGCATAGCACTCAATGAATCTTAAATACTGTGATCATTTCTTTGTTTCCTTGTGTTATTCTGTTAAACTCCATTAAGAGGTTTAAGATACATTTGAAGAAAGGAAGTTGTTTAAGATACTTGCAAGGTATGAAACAGCGTGGTGTCTTTCATGGAAATGCTAATCTGGTTGGAAGACAGTACTTTCATTAATGAACAATGCAATAGAAATCAGCTAATGGTGATTCTTCTTGAACTGTCACAACTATACTGTATACTTTTCATTAAGCATGAGCAAATTAGGAAAAAATGAGTAGGCACTCCAGTTTTGTAATAAAGTGTTATGATGTATGATATTAAGCATAGGGCATAAAATTGTTTTTATTCATCTCAGTTATGTATTAAATGAACCAACTTGATTTTAATTGGCAGTGCGGAAATATGGAGGTAAGAATATCAGAGATCAGTGAGAATATATTTGGTGCCTGATATAGTGATAGTAAGGGGGAAAAAGTGTGGACATAATTATTTTAAAGGGAGATATTAGTTCTACTTTTTCCAATAATTAATGAAAAATAACGTTGAGTTTCTTGGGGAAAAAAATTTACACAATTCATTTGTCCCACTGACTCAAAAGCGTAAAAAATAAATCTTTAATTAACATGGAGTTTTTCTCCTTTTTGTCTTAGGATCAGATTTTATTAAGACCTCTACTGGAAAAGAAACAGTAAATGCCACCTTCCCGGTAGCTATAGTGATGCTACGGGCCATTAGAGATTTCTTCTGGAAAACTGGAAACAAGGTATATTATTACCAGCAAATCTTTCTTCAGAGTAAAGATAATGTTATTTATAATACTAGTTACAGCCAGGATAACTGTGTTTATATGGAGAAGTTGTGAATGAATTACCTTTATTAAGATAAATGTTTAATTTACCTTTCATTAGAAAAGACCACATTCAGGGAGAAAAATGTATGATTAACAAAGTGAGTGTGAGTGTGGGAATATGTGTGATCAAGATGTAAACTCACTTTATGTCCTTTTGTTAACCAAAGACAATTTTGTCACTGACAAGAGATTCCTAAATGGGTTCTTTAATGAACTAATTCTGCTGCAACACAGAGGCTTTCTCGCAAGGCGTTGGCCAGTGAAAACAGGTTAATGCAGAAATTAAACTTCCTTGAGGAATGGAAAGAATTGCAGAGTAACATTTATTGAATGATAAGCTGTGGTGGTGATATGAAAAGTATGCAATATAATGGGAAATAATCTTTTCCTGTCATTATTGAAGGACACACATAAATTGGTTTTTCTGTTGGGAAACCCCCGGTCCAGAAAAACTTATTACTTTTAATAATATGAGGTGAAGAGAAAATTCTCGAGGAGATGAACTTATTAAACAAAATAATGAAATGCTGTGAAACAGCAGGGAAAAGGTAGCTAGACGTTATATAGCTCTTGAATTAAATATCAATTTTTGCGTTTTATGGCAGTTGGATGTGCTCTTTGGAAGACTGTTAAGCTGAGGAGGGTGTATACTAGCTTTTGTCAGCTTTTTGAAAAATAACATATATTTTTTGAAACATACGAAGTTAAAGGGAAAAAAGTGTATGAGGTGCTTTTTTAAAAATGAGTTTGGATTTTCCTTTTCATCTCAAGTTGCTTGTTTAGCTGCAAATTATCTCAAAGGATTTTTTTACGTGATTGGAGAGAAAGGGTGTGTGTGTGTGTGTGTGTGTGTGTGTGTGTGTGTGTGTGTGTGTGTGTGTAATGAGACTTTCCCTTCCTAAGAGGCATCTTTTAAAACCAGTCTCTTGATTTCTGCCAAAAAGAAACCCAAAAAAGACCTTTAGTCCTTTGTTCACCTGATATGATGACTTTGTATGTAACTGTAGCTTCAGTTTATTTTGGAATAGGTGACTTTTTTTTGGAATATGCTAGTTTATGAGAGGAAATAAACTCCTTCCAGAATTTCCTCTCTTAGAAAAACTTCACATCTTAATTATGAATAGGATAAATATCTATTGTGACCTACATGAGAAAGGTGACCCAACTTGAATAACCTCTGCTTGATAGCCTGTCTGCAGTGATCCAAATAAGCTAAAAGATTTTTTGTTTAAGCTGTAAAAATGATAAATCTATCTTTGGTCCTCAGTTGAAACTACCAACACTCATTAGATTGTGATTCTTATAGCCAAAGAACATCAAAACCAAATGTGAAGCTTTTTATACTTTATAGATGCCTGGGCCCCCATCCCTGGTAGTTTTGGGTCTGGTGTAGTCCTCAGGCATCTGTATGCATTAAGTTCCATTGTCAGGGTTCAGACTTGCCACTGGGGACCCAATCCTGTTTTGTTCTCAACAAACATTTATTGGGTAGTTAACCATGTGCCATGTTAACCTGTGTTAAATGCTAGGAATGGAAAAATGACTACGTCCCTTCTCAGGAGAGCTCTTAGACAACATGCAAAGAATGTCAATGAAAATTTTAAGTGCTCCGTGTTCCAGGTCAGAGTACAGAGGGAGGGACACTTTGCTGTCTTTCAGTCCTTTCTTTTTAATTGTATTGATTCTTTCCCCAGCTAATAAATAAGTCCATCCTAGTTTTATTAAGAAAAAAACAGGTACAAGTCAAATTCTATTCATTTAATCATATTTGATTTCAAACAAAGAGATTGTGTATGTTTGCAAATCAGGTGCAGCCTTTTGGGTTGTTGACAAGTTGCTTGGGTAGTCCTTAGGCCATTAAGTTTCTGTGTCATTGATTTAAGGGTATTTTAAAATGTGATAGGCCACCTTCCAGACCATGCTTAGTGTCACTCTTGAGAAGCAGAGGTTTAATATTTCATAACTGATTTCATTGCAGATTTATGTTTTCCATATTCTCTCTCTTAAAAAAAAGGATAAACTTAGGTTAGAACCTCTCTGGAAACAGACTTGCTGACACAAACTGAACTATATAGAAAATCTATAAGAAGCACTACCTAATTGACAAAAATGCTCCTATGATTAACATGTATGCTAATATCAACTAATTGATTTTTTTGGCTGCATCTCAACAAGTAACCTCATCCTGTTTAACCCCCTTGCTGCCTTACAGAGTCATAGCCTGGGCTCTAGAGTAATAGCAGATACAGTTGGAATCCCTGCATTGCTGCTGCTTAGTTATGTGACATTGTGTAATTGAGGCAGGGAAAGAAGTTAAGAGACTTTTACTGATATTTCATGTGAGAATTGATGAGGGTCTAAACTGAAACAAGTGAGTGCACAGGAAAGTGTACCTGGGGGGTAAGGAAGTTAAGGAAGTAGAATTGGCAGAACTTAAATATTGCTTGGGTATGGTGTGGCCAAGGAATGGTAGAGCTTGGGTTAAACTATAACCTTACCTGCTTGGGTTGATAATAGACTATATTCATTTAATGTCTCTCTTCTCTAGCATTCTGTTAGCAGTAATCTGCTGGTGCAACCAATCACAGCCCTGCATGACAAAATGTGAGAGATTTAGTATTCAGGCTCTGTGGTGTTGTTTTGACCGCCAACATCTATAGATTCCCTACTCTACTGGATAGTCAAGTTCCTGAAACATGTAAAATCAGATAATCAGAGTTTTATTGTATATGGAACATATCTTTCCTTTCCTAATGAATCCAGGGACGTCATTTGCGAATATCAGATATTGACTGGATTGGGCTATGTTATGGTCAACCCTTAAAGACTACTGGAGTATGTGGACACCCCCACCCCATGTTCTTCTACTGAGCTTATGTAACTTGTCTGCCGGCTTTCTAGGATGCTGTGTGCCTGCAACTTAGAAAAAAAAAATCCCTGCAGTTGAATTGATTAAAACAACTGTCAACTTTCCTTGCTGGATTGCTGCCAGTTTGGTTAGGGTAAACCTGCAGGCTTGCTGATTCTGTCCTTTTATTTTAAGTGCACTTGTGTTTTGAACCTCAAGATGAAGGCTGAGAAGTGACTATATAGGCTTACTTGTAGAAATGTAGAATGAATGGGCTTTTGTGATCTGCTTTCCTATTTATTGACACCTTCCTTGTTTATTCCGGGTTCACAGCTATAGTCTAGATGGTTGAGGTTTATGACTTTCCAGTAAGTGAAATGTTAATCAGGGTTAGTAACCCTCATTAGTGTCTCTTCGAAAGCAGTGACATTCTCCAAAAATCTTGGGGAAGTTGTTTTGTAGTGTGAATGGGCATGAGTCACTGATCTAAGCCCTTTTGCTGGATGAAGTGAAAAGGTTTTTTTCAACAGAGGGAGAGAGAATCAAGACTCTGATAAACATAGTATCATTTTTAAAAGAAATCCAATAACAATAAAGATTGTTCTATTCTCTGCCTTCCCATTTAGGTAGGCTTTAAACCAGCAGGAGGCATCCGCAGTGCAAAAGATTCCCTTGCTTGGCTCTCTCTTGTAAAGGAGGAGCTTGGAGATGAATGGCTGAAGCCAGAACTCTTTCGAATAGGTGCCAGTACTCTGCTCTCAGACATTGAGAGGCAGGTGAGTAATAATCTCTATCTTTGGAATAAATTGACAAGTGTTTTTGAGAAAGGAATTGAAAAGCCAAATTGAGAACTAGAGATAAAAACTCATCTGATTGACCTCATTCTACTCAATCCTCTACTTTTTCTTCCAAGCAAATCTCCATCAGAAGTGAGTTGGGCGAAGCACATACTAATGAGGCTTTATAATGAAATGTTCGTTAAAACTATTCATTATTATTTGATAGTATAATTATTAACTGATGTGTATAATTGTAGAATGATTGTTAATTAACTAAACTCTGCTTTTCCTCACAGATTTACCATCATGTGACTGGAAGATATGCAGCTTATCATGATCTTCCAATGTCTTAAATTAGTCAGCAGTTCCAGAAAAGTTTTTTATGACAATGTTTAAAAATTATTTTTCTACATAATTGCTAAAATTATTTAATTAAAAAGTAGGACAATAGGTAACTGGCATTTCTCTCCTTAAAATTTCCATTTAACGTAAAGAATGGAACTGAAAACCAAACTTATCCACATTCACAGGTACTCATTTCAGGCACATCTGAAATGTTCTTAATTACTTGAAGATCTGCGCTGTTAACTTTGTGAGGGGTTTCTCCTAAAAACTCTTAAGTAAAATGTTAATGGCAGCTTTGACAACATCAAATTCTAAGGGGGAAGAAAACAACATTAAACTGCCCAAACAGTGTGCCCTAGCAAAGGAAAATGCAACATCCCGCAAATGCTGCTGTAACGACGTCAGCAGTCACTGATTCAGCACTAATTTCCTGCCCTGAAAACTCATCTTTCATTTTCTCTATGGATATGCTCTTTTGTTAATTGTTTTGCTAATGCAATTTCTGGTACTGTTATATACAGCTATGAATATCATTAAAATTTTTAAAATAATAAAGTTCCTATAGTTTATTATTTTTTTTGTTACAATACATAATGAAAAAGTAATCCATTAAACATAAAAAGAGGTTTTATCAGTGAGTTCCTGAATCTCTCTAGTTGATTCCTTGGGTATATATCTGTAAAGCACCTCCGTATATTATTAATGAATGCAACTTATGCATGTATTCAGAAACTCTTCAGATTTTCTGGTGTACTGAATGGAGGAAAGCAGTAGATATTAACAGCACTTGCCATGTAATAAGCTTTACATATATCAATTTATTTAACTCTGATTTAGTCCTCATAATAGTAAGGTAAATATATAAGGGTTTTAATCCTTATAGCAGTAAGTACTGATATAATCATCCTTTTATTCAGACAGGGGACTGAGGAACAAAGAAATTTAAGCAACATGCCAAAGGTTGCTCAAAATTCGCAGAGTTAAGAATCAAGCCCAAGCAGACAGGCTGGCTCTGAACTGCATGCCGTGACCACCAGGTATCCCAGACCCTCGGTACACATAGTCAGGTGTTCATAAAAAGAGCTCCTCATAGGCTCGGGTACAGTAATCTGCCTCACGGTCAGCTGGTTTTTTTGCTCTCTGTCTGTCCCAGCCTTACTCTTCAGAGATTCTGCTTGCTAGCATATCTACCATGTTACAGAATGTGTTTCCTTAGATGGTGATTTTCATCAGGAGAGAGTCTTTCTTACCTGAATGGCTCTCTGGTTGTTCATAAGCAAAAACCTGGACTGGAAGTCAGTTTTGGTTTTATCTTGTCACCTGCTGAATTCTAGCCTGAACTCTCCCTCTTTCTGCCTTTGACTCCTTGGTCTAGTCAGTTCACATCTCAGTTTCTTCATCTATAAAGTAAAGGGGTTGGGGAGATGATATGAAAGTTCCTTCAGGCCTAAAATTATATTACCCTAAGGATAATTAGAACAAATTCGAGAAAATGTTTTATGGCTGAAAAGAGAAAACACTTTTCTACCAATCTAAATTAGAAATTGCCTCTTAGGAGACAATTTAGCAAGTCCTTCAAAGCACCTCTCTAACTATAAATGAAATGACTAAAACAAGAATAGAAAAGAAATTCTGTTTTCCCCCAATGCCTCAGGAGGATGCCAACTTTTGACTTGTGCCTTTGGATATGGTCAGTGGCTCCGAATGTCATATTCAGCCTCATCATATGCTAGCCCAGGTGCCCACCACTACAATGGCCAGTCACCTTTGGAGAAGAAACATTATAGAAAAATAATCAGTCTGTCACCTTTGAAGCTATTCCAATTTCACAGGGGTTTCTGTTTTACTCCCATTAAACCCAGCTGGTCATTTTAGTTGATCAAGTGAACAGGCATCATAATCTTCAATTTTAATTTATATGAGGCATTCACTGAAATTGACCTCTGTGGACAATTACAGATTCACATAGGAAATTAAGACAGCGAGTCCCTCAGACCTATTAAAGCCTGATGAGCATAGCCTGATCTAAAGGTAAGTAATGTTATAGTGGGGAGGAAAATTTATTCCAAGGACTATGGGACTCTTCATCCGGAATGTCTGCCCATCCTTACCTGGCTCTTGAAATCAAATGTAACACAGAAGACTTTAATAGGAACACCCTCATTAATGTTGATTGCTATGGAAACATAAGAGGAAGAGATCATTTCTGAGGTGACTATGATTTACTGCAAGCTGATTTGTGTACTTCAGAACATTGGGATTAGATGCTTTATACAATCAGAAAATAACTTGCTGTGTTCTGTGTTTAAAGCCTCTAAGTTAATGCAAGCACCCTGCCTTGTTGCAATTGTTCAGTAAAGCATATTAGGCATGAAAGTTATTTTTGAAACAGTCATATAATTTGGGAGCGTAAAGAGACTTTAGAGAACATCTAGTTCAGCACTGGAGAACATCTAGTCTTTTTTTTACGTTGAGAAAAGAAACAGAGAAGTCACTTGTGCAAGGTCACATAGAATGTCAGAGCTGATACAGAATGTACATTCCCACCATATGATGAACTATTTTACAAGACATACCCTGGTCTTTGGAACTGAAAATTTCTTACTTGTTTATGCATGCTGCTATACCTAATCGTGTTTGTCAGTATGTGAACCTAAGACTTTCAAGAGATTCGTTTTTGCCTCTAAGAGTCTTCTAAATGGTGTTTTAGAGACCAACCTTCTCAATCTAGCCCATGTGATAGTGTGATAGTATGGTTGATTTCATCTGTTAGATCTCAGAATTTTGGATGACCTCTAGAACTGAATTTTTTTAAGCATTGAATGTTACTTCGTTTTGTTTTAAGGAAAAAAATATAGCGGAGGGGGGGCTTGTTTGGATTCTAATTTGTATACACATGGAGAGGAGATGACATGTCACAAAACTGTTTTATAATTAAAGTATTTTGCCTCATTCTGGATTATTTCAACACTAATGAGAAATTCAGAAAAATTGGTTCACGTGAAAAATAGCTTGGAAAGAGACCCATATAGCAGTAGAAACTGTTACAGATATCAGGAAGTGCATCCTCACAGCAACATAACACAGTCTCCATCCTGATTGAGCAGAGGTTTTCTATGTCATACATACATGTCTTATAGAAACCAAATCTAGAGAAACCAAATCCATTTCTCTGGAAAAATTAACATATTTCGAGTACAGAGGGAAACCATTAATTTTTCCTCCATCAGCCTGATACTGTATACATCATACATAGGACCAGAGTGCAGAAATATAAAGAAGAAGAAAGAATTTGTATAGATCTTACCTTCCAAGGCAGTGAAAAGTTATGCCTATTTTGGCACTAGGAAAAAGGTAGGAGGTGAAATCAATTTCTACACTTATTTTCCTGATCACTCTCTGGGGTTTTGCCTCCCAAAGAAAATATGTATTTTACAACCACCACCAAATGATCCTTTCTAGAAATGACCACAGGTAACATCTGGCTGATATATAAAATATGTAGTAAAAATAATCATTTTTAATTAACTAAAACCTGCTCAGGAGAGAGTCAGAGGAATATCCATCTGGTCAATTCACACTTAATAGGACAGATGAGGATCAGGATGTTTAATGCAATATATGAGAAATGCTTAGTGACCTTACAATGAGCTAAAACTTTTTATTAGGAAAAAGAACACAGATGAGGAGGAATAATTGGAATATCTAGAAAGGACAGACCTGAAACTTGATATGTTTAGAAGTACATCTTGTAAAACACATAGAATATAGGAAACCTAGATTGTGTGGCATTAGTTTCTATTGTCCAATGACAGGGAATGTGTTCAATTCATTTGAACAATAAAATAAGCTTATAGTTTATTCTGGAGATTGGCAACAAGTTTTAAGAAGTGATTATAAATACCTTATAAGATGTGATTATAAGTAAAGGTTAAAGGAACTGAGATTATTTAGCCCGAAGGGAAGATCAAAGGGTACTTAATGCCTGAAAACCCCAGGAAAAGTTACTTCTCTATTAGATTTTAGTGACACAGTCCTGTATCTCCTCTCTAGAAGAAGAAGTAGAACTTATGCTACATGTGAAGTTAGGTTAGTTCTGGGTAAGGACTCGCTTAATGGGCTAGAATGTGTTATTAAGAAGGTACATCTTACTATTCTCAGTAGTAGACTTGTCTTTTTATTTGGTGGTTTAGTTGTGCTGCCAAAAAAAGTGGTATTCAAACTGAATCACTGGGAGAGTTATATGAAACAAGTCTCAGCTGCACTCCCCCGAATTTCCAGTTCAATAACTTAGCTGTAAAACCTGAGAATTTGTATTTCCAACAAATGCCCAGGTGATGGTGATGCTATCGTTGTGCTCTAGGAACCACACTTTGGGAACTACTATGTTAGAGATCCTTGTACTCAATATCTAGATTCCAAATTAAATGTATCTATTAAGCAGTAAAATCCACCAGCTGCAGCACTTCTGTATCCTGAAGCTCTAGGATAAATGTTTATATTTTGCTGCTTTTCATAGCCAAGAACAGGAGGGAGGACAATGGAAATGACTTACCCCTTAATCCTTTCACACGACGCAATGAACTCGATTTCACTTTGGGCTTAAAAGCAAGCTTTGGATCCTAGAATAAACATTTTAGATGAATTTTAAATCATTATCCATAAAATCTTCAAGGAATTTTATCAAGCCAAGATTGTAAGATTTAGCTGTATTTGATTCCACCAGTCTGGAATGCTATAACTGGCGATTTAGATATAATGTACTATAAAACCAAGACATATCTTAACAGAGCCCATTCTTCAACTTGCATTTAGAATAGATTGTAGGGAATGGCATGTTTTACAGATACTTGGCTTATTTTGAAGATACTGTGTAGATAGGTGGTCTCTAGGACAAATGAAATTGTTGCTTCCTTGGTCTTTTCCACATAAAAGAATGTTTTAAATTTGTGTTTTGCTTTCTAAGTGTTTGCTTTGCCAGGACCATACTGCATATAGGCACGTTTCTCAATTGTAAGCAATAGAACTCTCCTCTACCTAGTTTAAGTGAGAAAAGATGCTTATTCTTAAAGCATGCTGTCACAGGATATCCGGGATGGGCAAATAGTGGGAAGTTTTATTAGGCCACTCTTGCATCGCTATAAAGAAATCCCTGGGTCTTGGTAATTTATAAATAAAAGAGGTTTAATTGGCTCATGGTTCTGCAGGCGTTACAGGAAGCATAGTGGTGGCATCTGCTTAGCTTCAGGGAGGCCTCAGAAGGTGAAGGGGAAGCAAGCACATCACATGGTGAAAACAAGACAAAAGGCAGAATGGGGAGGTGTCACATACTTTTAAATGACCAGCTCTTGGGAGAATTAACTATGACAAAGAGCTTCAAGCCATGAGGCATCTGTCCTGATGACCCAAACACTTTCTACCAGGCCCCACATTCAGTATTGGTGATTACAATTCAACATGAGATTTGGGCAGGAACAAAAATCCAAACTATTTCAGAAAAAGAGGCAGCTAGGTAAGAATAATGCCCCAACTATTCTTTAGAACTGCTCTTAATC